AGAACCACACAATCGACTGTCTACTACCAGTGGTCTTACTTCTATGGAACCTGTTACCCATCGACGAGTTAGGATAGAACCAAATGACATCAACACCAAGTTAATGTGAGTTTCTTCATGTCTGTTCTTCATCAACTCTCTGCTCTCATGTATACTATGTTGACTTACCATCAATTTTATTTCACCACTCGTCGCACTATCTATAACCCATATATTTCTATACTTTTCCTTGCAGTTACTGCAACATCTGCTTTGAGTGCCTCTGCTGGAATGTTGTCCGGTCCTGCTGTTTTGCCACACTTCATTTGTCTGATGATCATGCTGATTTCTTTAGTTCTTGGTGGGCCAACGTCGATTGGGAGGTCCGTGAGTGCTGCTTGTTTACTTTTATGTATTCAGCTTGTGCTTTGTCTTTTTCTGCTCTTGTTCGGCTGGTATTGACTGCTACCTTTTCGTTCCTCCTTTCTTGAATCGTATCCAGTGTATTAACATTGATTCATTTGTTGTTGTGGTACGTCTTGTGGCTAAGAACTTCATGATATGTTGAAGTGATAGCTTCTTTTATCTCTTTCCAGGTACTCTCCATAACAGTTTCCTCTCCGTTGAGTAGATAGTGAAAGGCCTGGAGCTTATTGCTGAGGGATATCTTGAATTTGTTGAGTTTGTCAGTATCCCAAAGAAAAGCCGTAGCAAACTTTTATGATATTGTCCTCCCCGTTGTCCAGTGCTTCTTAAGCTTCAATTTCATCTTGGCGACCAGCAAGTTGTGCTCTGATTCTATGTCAGCTCCCCTTCTGGTTCTCACATCCTCCGTCATCCTCCTGAACTTTTTGTTGATGCAGATGTAGTCGATTTGGTCCTGTGTAGTGTGATCCAGTGAAGTTCATGAGGTTTTGTATATGTGTTTATGTGGGAATATAAAGTCGCCTATAACCGCTTTATTGAAGGCCTGTTGCACCCACTTTCTCTACCAGGATGGGACAACTCAAAGAACATAACAGGCTGGTGCAAAAGCCAAAAATGAACAAAATATTCGTAACATACAGGTTGTAGATCACCAACTTAGATGATGTATGTCGAGTGATTGGAGGTCTACTCGAGTTAGACAGGAATGGTATGACGAGCCACCTCACTTTGAAGTTACACCTCGTGGTCAGCATCTAACGTGGATTAACCCTTCGACGTATCAAAGTATCATGGCTGCTTTGAAGACCGTATAACACAAAGGATGTTAGAATGAAAATGTATCGATAAAAACGAGTACAGAGAATATAGCGAGACTACTACCGCATGCGCCAGTCCGTGGCATACTATCAACTGATGGGCGTTGGTTTTCCTTGACCTTGAGAGGGATCGGCGGTCTGTTTGGTATCCAGTGCCCAACTGCCGAATAATTTGGCTAGGGCTCAGTTGCAGTTCACTGGCCCTACAAGGTTTTTGTACCGAGACATCAATTCTTGGAACCTGTTATCAGGGGAAATGGTGTTAGCCACTTCAGATGACTCACTAGAAAGACTAGACACTCAGAAGCCCACTAGAAAGCAGTGGGTCTTCTGTTCACAATTCTTTAATATGAATCGAACCTGGACCTTTTTGAACACAAAGACAAAATCTAGAACTTATCATACCTTATTTCTTACTGTCCTGGCTTAATATGTCGAACCAATTAGAGTTTAATGTCTAAGTGGTTACGAGACATATGAGAAAGATCTCAAAATACAGAAATAAAAATAGTTAGTCAATTATATATTTACCAAACAATCGTGTTCAAGAGCGAAATAGTTAGCCACAGGGTCGCTGTTTCCACAGCTAAGAAAGAAAGGTTATATTTGAAGCCTTCAGAAAAGCAGTTGTTCTTTTCTAAGTGGGTCAGTATCGTGATAAGCGTATGTAGTCATCTTCTATGTCGGTTGTCTGTCACTGGTAATTTGAGAAAGTATTACCAGTCTACGGTAATAAGGAAAGTGGGTTGCTGAACCTGTATCAATCCTAACAGTTTACATTCCAGTGATGTCAAATCCTTCCTGTTAACTTCTGGGAGCTTGCCGTTAGTTTTCTTTCCTTGGACACGACTTTCAAAGAGGCCTAATCTGTTCCCAGCTGAATTATTTGGGATCTAGAGGAGTCGAAAGAAAATGACCCTGCTAAAAGACACACACACTATCTGCTATCAGAAATTTACTACCTGAAAAGGTTTCGGGGGTACATATCACGAAAGTGATAAGTCTCGGCAAGTTGATTGGAGGCGAGATCCATCGAAAAAGGATCCTAAAGTTAGTACTCGGAAGTCATGGAGAAAGAGACATCATTCTAAGTAACTCATACGAAACTCGCAATCCAAATATTCGTATCCGACCAGATTGGCCTCTTGAGGATCGAATCAAGTGGAATAATGTCTTTACAAAGTTAAAAAATCGAAAGCTAAACGACAAAGCGAACATTACCATTAAGTGTTTTCGGGTGGTCAGGTCCTGGAAGCCAATGCTTCCGAGGCCTGTATGGTTGGAACGAATGATTCTTAAGACACCTCAAATATGTGCTACACTAACGCTCATAGTCTTGTAAATAAAACGTTCGAGCTAAGTTTGATGGTGGGTGAATTAAGTCCCAATATAATTGTTGTCACAGAAACTTGGCTCACGGTAGATATAGACTGTCCCCTCATCATTGCAGGCTTCATCTGTATTAGAAGTGACAGTGTTATAAGTCTAAAGGGAAAAGGCATAGTGTTATATGTTATGGATCACTTTCGTATATCATCAATCGCATCGGAGGCTCATGTTAGTGGTACATATGAAGTAGCATGATGTACAATATAGTCTAAACACGGGTTAGTGACTATATGAGGGATGTATTGTAGTCCATGTTGTTTTGCTGGCAACTTTATCTTAAGACATCTGTTCTCAGAGTAAGGCAGTATGTTGTCTCATCATTGGAGATTTTAACACACCGCATATCAACTGGTTAGAGTTTACAGCTTCAGGTGGGTGTTTCGATAGTGACCCGGTATCGCGAAGCCGACATATTGGCTTGGGAAATGATCCGTTATTGCTGGACCTTGTACTCACACACCACTGTGAGGATGTCATCGACATTCAGCACCCCCGACTAGCGAATAGTGATCACATTGTATTTTACTTTAAGTTTCAGACACATGGTGTACAAAATGTATCTGCCCCACCCCGTTCCAATATCTGGCGGGCTAATATTCCGGCAATCAGAGACTGTGCTATCTCAATTGACTGGTCGATCAATGCAGGTGGAGCGATCTGAGGCGAATGGAATAAGTTTAAGGCTACATTTAAGTCTGTAACGTCACCGTTTATCCTATGGTCAACACGTAAGCTATCACATTATCCTCCATGGATCGATAGGGAAAGCCAAACGCTGTTGAAGCGTAGGAAACACTTCTAGGGCTTATTATTGTCAACAGGATACGAGTAATTTAAGTGTGAATACAAAAAACTCCGGAATGTATGTAAAAAGACCATAGCTAGATGCTGTACTATATACGAAAGACTGTTGGCATATGATAGCCCTACTTGTCCGAAACGATTGTTTTCGTACGCTAAATGGAGAACAAAACGCAGTGATGGTATCCCCCATTACTGTTATACGGAAATTCAAATTTATTAGCGGAATCAAATCTGAGACTTAAACTATTTTAGCGAAGTATACTCTGCGTGTATTGTTAAAAATACTTGTTCTAATCACACCGAGATACCAGCCATAGGACCTGTACATGTGACTGACGACAATGTTTGATGAGGCCAAATTTTTTCCATCTACGATAGGGTTAAATCTTGTCTTAATTTGGGACTTTAGCGGAGTAATCTTTAACACCGAATGTGAGCCCACCAAGGACTTTTCACCTAAAGCGGCGTTATTTTTGGCTATCTTTCCTTCTCTTCTATGTTTCCGCTTTTTCCATTTCCCATCAATTGCAGTATCCACATTAGAGCTACTCGGGACGATAATGGTTTTGTCTGGGTCATCAATCACTGCTGTAGCAACTTGACCACCAGATAATATCATCTCGTACATCATCATATGATGTACGAGGACTTTTAGCCAGTCTGAAAGTATTTTTATGTGTATCCAAAACGTCAATAATGTGTGATAGTGCAGTCAGTTGCGTCTTAATGCAAATTGGTATCAACCAGGAAACTAGGAGAAGTTTCTCGTCCTTACTTCTTGACCGATGACCCAGGGATCACAGTAAGTCATCACTTGTGGATCATGGCTCAGCGACGTTTAGTATTTGCTAAGGTTCATAGACTGGCTTGGGGTTAAGAAAAACTTGCGAAATAAGCAATGGAATGTCACTACTTTACGCAGCTCATAATGAGCGTACTGTGCAAGTCTCAAGCCCTTCTTCAAAAGATTACTCAGATCTTTTAGATATACAGAGGAATTGTACCCTTGTGATTCCAGTGGCTTTCCTCATACTATGGATATCGGAACCAAATTTTATTACATTATTATACACTTGATTAGGAAGCGATGTAATTATGGTGTGAAGGATACTAAGAAGTGTTTTAGAACCTGAAATGCCCCTTTTTTCTTCCAACTAGGTTAATAAAACTAAGGAGCCACTGGCGGATCCAGAAGTCAAGAGCGAACAAAATTTTTGCCGAATAATTTACTCTTAGAACTAACTACTAGGACAAATAGTTCATGGGCCTTCAATTTACTCATTCAAGAGAAAAATGAGGACACGAAATCATACTAGGAGAGGACTGACACAGGCACCCAATCTTTTGTCCTCAAAGTACAAATCACAATCGTTGGTGCTGTAGTATTGGTTTAGTCTAATGTGTATCCAGAAGACACTCATAGATCCTTTTGACGTATGGCATCTTTAGTTGTTTTAAATCTTTGTTCCGTATAACTAGTTCTTACACTTGATTTTGTATACTAGTACATCTGATTATTTCCTGTTTCAGAGGCTACATAACTGAAGTGTAATAAACTTCTTTTTGTTAGTGTATAACATATCGATGCTTGCAGATTGGTCTATTATCAAATGCGTTTGTTTGGACGTAGACTCTACAGTTTGTGAAGATGAAGGACTGGATGAAATTGCCAGTTTTCTTGGAGTTACTGATAAAGTTAAAAAAATGTAGACAATAAATTTCGTCTATATTTCAAAGTTTCATTAGCACTGAGGAGGCTATGAATGGAGAATTGGACATTACTAAGGCATTAGAAGCCCGCTTATCAATAATGAATTTAAATTTAAAGAAGCTTACTGACTTTTTAGACAATCATCCAGTTAGACTAACACCGGGTGTTGAGTAAGTTCATCTCACTAAATCTTTTAGTTTTGTAATTATAATGTACGTGCTCCGGTTGTCATTGTGTAAATAACTTCATTTCTTATTTTTTCCATTCATTTAATAAACCCATTTTGAAAATCACAATGGATTTTCGTTTTATCAGATTTTGGAGGATATGCCATTCATTCCTATAAAACTTGACCTTTCTAAAGAAATACTTCCGTTAATGTAAATGTCACTATGGTCAGGTCTAACAGACAGTTTATTTTCAAAACGAGTGTTTTTGTGAAACTAAGAAGGACATGAGCCATTAATTATGTATATGTATATAATCTTAATTTTAATACTAGTCGATATCCAAGTCGCTGTTACAAAGTGACGCAATTAGTATTTTGGTTGTAAGAGTTGATGGTTTTAAGATAAGAATTACATGTCAACTAAATAAATTAGTGAACTGTGTTATGAAGTAATATGCATCGCTGTATGTTTTCGTACACACGAAGTTAGTAATCATACAAAATAAGAATAATTTAACTCACTCACAAGTTACTTGGGTATGAGCCATATTCCAAGTCTAAAGGTTAATGATAACACTGTTGCTCAAACCGAAATAGGTGGAGCGGAGTTCGAACCTGGAGCCCAGTGACTGTAAAGCATACGGATTCACCACTAAGCTACTACCCCAAGTAGACTGTACAGACACTGTTGTGTGTAAACTTTTACATCCACTAGATATAAATACCAATGCTGTTGAGTAAATTTGACGGAGATTTTTTAAACGTTTTCAAATGAAACATCCATATTAAATCGCTGGAATCTTTTTAAATATACGGAAATGGAAGTGATTAATCTATATTTCGCTCTATCAAGTCATACTGTAGGGTTACTTTTAATATAGCTTTATAACCACTAAAATGCGGTTTATAGGTGTTGGTATTCTAACTTATATACATAGAGTTGATCAATGAACTTTCTTGTCTCTATTTCGTTTTTATTTGGATCCGTTATGATATCCTTTCAGTCTCTATTGCGGAATTCGATCAGTCATTTTAGTTTAATAAGATTATCACCCATTCTCCTAAAAATAGATGTGGATAACATTTTGGGTGAAACTTGGTAAAAAATATTACTCAGAGAAAAATGAGTACTTCGAACAGACTTTACGCAATAGCCTTGTATGGCAGCTTAAATATTGGAAATGAACTTTTTATAAAGCTTACAGTGTTTCGCATTTTTTGATATAATTCGCTTCTGTGGAAGTAACTAGTATTTCTTACCTAAACGATGGGTTTTGGGATGGTTTATCTGTTGTTTTTATTCAAAAATGTAATTTATTTTGTACAGTCTACCTCTTAAATTGATCATATGTGACTATCACAAACTGAGTATTTTCGGTGATTGTGTTTTGTAACCACTGTTTTTGTAATTGTAGTCTCACTTAACAATACTTTGTTTGTGATACTGAGATCTAACAGCATTTTTTGGCAAGGTAGCAGACAATTCATCATATCAACCTTTAGGGTACTGAAAATTTTCCTTTATTGGTAAAAAATATGATCTGTGTTGCTCACTACATGGTTTATTTCAATGAAAACTATGTAATATATAGCTAGATATCCGTTCGCCAATCAATGGGCGGGTATATTACTCATCAGTCCGCACTGTATTGTGCTACAGCTGTGACCTTTAAAATGACTCGTAAAGTAGGGCATATGTGTAGGCCACAAATATTTGGTCTTAAGTGTCTTTGAGGCATTGCCGGTGTGTGGCGGAACGATTGAGTTAACATTGACATGGCTAGGTGTCTGGTAATGGGGAACCGACGAATCGATTAGTGGGACTGCAAATCTTCGTCTGCTGATGTGATTAGGTCACGTTTTAAGCCTACGCGTTCCGTTCCTCAACGCACAATATTGGCTGGAGTCGAAATAGTTTAGAAGAAAGCTGGGGTTATGCCAAAATATAGAAGCAGTCCATCAGTCAATAACTGTTGGACTAAACACTGTTGTTAGGTATAGATTTTCTGGTTTGAGTCCGCTTTATTGGCTCATGTTGGGTGAGATTGGCTCAAAACCGGTCGCATTGACCGTTATTGCATTCACTCTATCATCCCCCAAGTTTTACGCTTCAGTATTCCCCAATCACTCTTGATGGCGAAATTTTGGAAGATGTAGAATCTTTCACATACCTGGAAAGCATCATCGATGAACAAAAGTGATCAGATGCAGTTGTGAAAGCGAGGATTGGCAAAGCAAGGGACGCATTCCTACAATTGAAGAACATATGAAACTCGAAACAACTTTCAACCAATATCAAAGTCAGAATCTTCAATACGAACGTCAGGGCAGTTCTGCTGTACGGAGCTGAAACGTGGAGAACTACTACAACTATCATCAAAAAGGTGCAAGTATTTATCAATAACTGTCTACACAAGATACTCAACATCCAATGGAAGGGTACCATCAGCAACAGCCTTTTGTGGGAAAGAACCAACCAGCTTCCAGCTGAAGAGGAAATTAGGAAAAGACGATGGAAATGGATAGGACATACATTGAGGAAATCATCAAACTGCACCCCAAGACAAGTGCTAACTTGGAAACCTGAAGGGAAGTGGAAAAGAGAAAGGCTAAAGAACATATTACGTCGGGAAAAAGAAGCGGATATGAAAGGGATGAATAACAACTGGAAAGAGCTGGAAAGGATTGCATGGGACAGGGTTGGATGGAGATTGCTGGTGGTTGGCCTATGCTTCTTCACGAGGAGTAACAGGCATAAGTAAGTAAGTAAGTAAGTAAGTAATTCCCCCTTAACAAGTAGTATGCTTCAATTTATAGTCTTTCTCATTATCATGAGCACCATTATTACTTCCAATCCATCGCTACCCATCTCTTCAACTTCATCCCTCTTTGCTGGTGTGATATGACAACTTGAACTGATTCACATTTATGGCAGGGTTTATGTTAACTATGACTAACGGTTACTGTTCTTCATTCTATATCTGCTTCTTTGAAATTTGATACATTTTTAAATTCACTGTTACGTACTGCCTAACTGATAATTTCCATTTGTCCAATCCAACAATAACTAAACCAACTATTTTCCATCTTCATAGTGTTGATAACTCAGTAGACTTCAAAACAACTTTTCTTTGGGATCTAAACTTATGTACCAAACCAACTTGTAGAATTTATGATCATTTTGGTCTGGATAATTTATTTAAGTATTTATTCTTTACGCTTTGAACAGAAATCTTGTTAATCAGTTCAAAGAAAATGGGGTCGATGTTTACTTGGTAAGCGGTGGATTATATCCGTTAGTTAATCGCGTAGCCAAACTGCTCAATATTCCTGAAGAAAATGTTTACGCGAACAAGCTGATTTTCAATAACGAAGGTAATACTGATTGTTGAAGTTTTTTCTCGTTTGCTTTGATACAAAATTGTGCACAATGCAACCTCTTGAAAGCTGCAGTTAGATAAGGTTCTCTTGCATGTTAGCCTGTCTGTGTAAACAAACCATCTCCATTCAAAATAACTTTATCATTGAATTTGTATGCATAAATGCAATATTGATTTTCTGAGAACTATCCAGATGTCAACAAGTATTCCATCAGTAATCAAATGTTTCTTGTATTCAGCTTTCGGTCTTCAGACATAAGGACCAACGTTAGTTCTAGTGACTTATAGTACTGCCTGGAGAGGCATCGGCCTCGTGATTTCTGAAGCATCTTGGTTTTCACCATAAGGTGTCATAATTCTTATGGGTGACGATCCTCTAAGTCCCCGTCAAGAATTTAAATTGTTTTTCCTGGATAGTGTTTTTCCAATAGGGTCGTTTCCTATGGGATGGGGTCGCTGATCCCATGCCCAACCTTCTTCCTTTATCCAGGCTTTGGATTGGGTGAAACTCTAGAAGGGCTACAGGCTGAATTGCAACTTTTACAGAATGTATGTAAGTATAAAAGAGAGATTTCGATGAATTATGTGAATGGAGTAGGATTATTGAAATAATATTTCCGTCCTACGAATTAGACAATAACGTTTAATGGTGATTCTTCACGAAAGAAGGGGGAGTAAAAAAATGAGGAAACGAATTATATAGTTCAAAAAAGGAGACATTTCCAAATGCAAAGATCTATTAAATGAGGCCTATAATAATAGGTTAACTCCGCCTGGAGCCCTTCTGGGGCCACTGCCGGTTCCAAGCCCGGATAAAAGAGGGTTGGGCATGGGGTTAGCGACCCCATCCCGTAGAAAACTAACTCACTAAAAAAGAGCTAACGAGAAAAATAATAGGTTAAGGTTGTTATGATAACGAGGAATGGATTTGTTTTTTTTATAGATAATTCGAACATAAACTTTAACTACTCGAAAGAGTTTAAGACAAAAATACCTTGATAGATTTCGATTCCATAAATAATCCTAAAGTCAGAATGTGTTATTTAAATAATCAACATGACTTGGATTACCTCTACTATTTAGGGTAGGATTAAGTCTCAGATAGAAGCTTGGGTGGTCAGACCAATCTTTAAAATCATAAATTATTGATTTAAGCCTGGTTTATTGAACTTCGTTCCTCGGGAATAGATTAGTATCTTCTACATATTGCATATTTATCAAGTTTCCAGAAGCCATTGTATTCAGGAGCTATGCTAGCTTATTTGAAACGTAAATAAGCTTACCTATTCCATTTGGAGAAATATGATACTACACAAATCTTGGCCATTTAAAATAGGATCAATGTCTTGCTTACTAAGTCTTATGACAAAATTAAAGAAAAATATTTGTTTGGAATGCGTCTCCAGGTTTCGCTAACGTTTGTTTCGTGAAAGAGGCTCTTGAGACCGGAAGCTAATTTACTTAACATTTTCATGAAATTTTGTAAATGTAACCAGTGCTTATCTATAACTTTCATTAAGTTGACAGCTACACTTCGTACTAGCTCAGTCCAAAATTTGGTCACAAATTTAGGTAAAACCGATTCCTTTACACCAGTTCATTTAATACAATGAAGTGGTTTACCACCGAAACTCAAGATAACTTTGATGTTTACTGAAGCATGATCAAAATTCGCGTAGCTATTCGAAAATGAGCGGCAGCTTTGCATTATATTCATTTCAGGTTCAGCTTTGAGCTTCAGAAAGATGAATCCAGGTAGTACATTTATTGCGATACTTGCGTAGTTTCCAGTCAAGTACCACAAATACGTTCTTTATCTATCGGTTCAAAAGTTTGCTCTACATGCACTTATTTGGAAACCCGATGTCATTGGTAATGCAGACACTCACAGTACATACATACTTTTGGTACACTAATGTGTAATCAGCATTAGTTGATTGTAATCATAGTGATGGTTGTTTACGTAGTTCTAAGCCAGAAGGTTTTACTAGAATGAGATATTGGTGAGGCGAAATATTTGTTTTCGATTCTCATTTTACACCTATAAATTGTAGTTCGGACTCGTTGAAGGGTAAATCATTTTGATAAAGTTTCGTTCTCTGAGCTGATAGAAGACTTCTACCTGAAGTTTGTGCTGATGTTGTTCAGACGAACGATGAAAGCTCCACGACCAAGCCATCCAGCTCAAAAAACAAAACTCCATCAAAATTATCCACCTGAGCTATAAATCTTCACCATCTCAAAGGTGAATCAAACCATCAGTTAAACAATCTCGATAACGAGCTTTCGAAAGTGTTTTGATAGGAACTAAAGACTTGAGCGTCCAGTTCGTGCGTAGAAGGGAACTGATCGGGTGTCAAAAGGGAGCTCATCAGTCTCAGCTTAGATAAAACGAATCGCCTTTAAGAGTTTTGTACAGATCACAAACTGTTTCTCGTAGGTACCAACTAGCATTGTTTCTCTGCAACTCAAGGTTAAACTCAAAATGGTCAGACTCTTCTACAAAGTAACAATGTTGTTGTTCTCGTACAAGTCGAAACTACAGTTGAGCACCAATATATATATATATATATATATATATATATATATATATATATGTATAGGTAGTGTTTGACTCTTGATTGGGAAGTTCTGTGAGTCTCTGTCATTGAAAGGCATACCAAGGAATTACATCAACCTTGTACAGTCTCTCTACTCGAATACTACTGATGGGGACTGTCTTCAAGTGGTGTTGTTCAAGGTTGTCCGCTTTCCCCATTTTTATTTGACTTTATCATAGATATGTCACTTTCATCATCTGACTTTGGAGGGATTCATGTTCCACCAGGAGATTTACTTGTTGACTTAGAATACGCAGGTGACTTAGTCCTGTGTTGATGAAGATCCTGACAAAATGCAGTCTTTTGACCACCTTAGGCAGCAATGCGATTGCTCCTCTTCAAATCCAAAATGTTGTTTGAAGATTGGTTTGTGTCAAGTCCTGAATTAATAACAGGGAGTGATGTAGTTAAGTGCGTCGACCACTTCACTTATTTTGAAGATCTTATCATCCCTGATAGGTTGCTGTATGACGAAATCTTGGCACAAATATTGAAAGGCCGGTTGACTTCTGCCAGCTTGCGTCATTTGTGGGATAGGCAAAATATCCATCTTTAAACCAAATGACGAGTTTGCTGTTCACCAGTTTGCTCCGTTTCACTTCATGGGTATGAAACATAGCCACTAAGATTAGGGGATATTCGTAGGCTATCACCATTCAATCATAAGTGTGTTTGTAAATAAATAATATATTTGTAATATATTATTATTTACTTATAACAATCTACCCAATGCCCAATTTATTCAAAATTATCAAAGTAAATCTTGGTAATGTTACCTATAAGTGTGTTTGGAGCATCGCTGGTGTATTTTTTGATCACTGAGTAGGCGGTGCCAAAACTAGGTATATGGTATTAGGTAGATATGACAGATCGGTTGATGAGGTAGTGAATATTCATTAGTTGAAGTGATTAGGACATATGTTACCCAACCACCGGCTATCTATGTGGGGAATTGTATGGTGTAGGAGTATGTTGGAAGAAAACTAACGGGTACCAAACGAAAATGTGGCATCAGTCCATAAAGTCATTGACACCTGGACCGTTGTAGACCATCTGGTTGGGACTCGCATAACTAGAAACTTTGAAGGGAATGACTCAAAATTGGTTGCAATAGTTCAGGCGGATTCACTCTCTATCATTATGTAGTTACTAAATCCTAAAATCTTATACTTTTTCGTTTATTTTTTACTACTACTGTTACTTTATTACTTCTACTATTCTAGGATTTGTCTTGACAATTTTATTTCGCAGTGTTACTGTTGTATGTCAACTTAAACGAATCCAAGTTGCGCGTCACTTACTGAAAAATATTTAAAATAACTGAGTGTGGGTAATGTTCAGTAATGAAGTAATAATTTGTTTCGTATTGAAGAATTCCTGTTATGAAACTAACTAATAAGTACTATAATTTATCTGTGATTATTTCTTCCAAACATCCGTTATAATGTGGTCGTCATTTTGTTACAAATAGCAGTTGTCTAAGGTTATTTTTGTTCCTTAGGAACATATTCGATAACTTAATAGGAGATTTGTCTGTAATATGTAATGTAGGTTAAAAAAAACTTCGAAGAATATTTCAACTGATGTACAACTACTTTCCAGTTGCCTAAGATTTGACTGTTCTTGTAATAAACAATTCACATCATCCGTACAACTCATGACAAAATTGAGAAAGCTGTGACGCATTTAACAACAAGACCTGCTTTGTTGATATTTCTTTGTACACTCTATCATCGTGATACATTTAGTCATATCAGTAGTATCTTTAAATAATATTTTGAATATTGTAGTGCTTTTAGTACTTTGGATATTATGGTAAGTTTTTCTTTATGTTCCCATTGTTTGATAAGCTTTTTTTTTTAAATTTCCCATAGGCACATATGTTGGATTGGATCATAGTGCACCAACTAGTCGTTCCGATGGTAAAGCTTTAATCGTTAATGAATTACTGAATAAATTGCATACTCCAATTATGATAATAGGTGATGGAATGACAGATGCAAAAGCTTGTCCACCAGCTTCTGTATTTATTGGTTTTGGTGTCAATGTTATTCGTCCTAAAGTTAAAAGTATATCCGATTATTTCTGTACATCTGTGGAAGAATTAATTAAGTTGTTGAAAAACCATAAAATGTTATTATGAAATTATATGTTGTGTATATGATTTTACTTTACATAAATTAATATTTTCAGTGTTATATGTGAATGTAATGCAAATATTCTTAACTAACAATTCCCAAACACTGTTTACCTGGTATTTTTGATAAAATAGTTTCACTAGTGGTTCATCTTTTTTTATATTCAAAATGGCAATAAACAATTAAGTTATCATTAAAAAAGAATAATGAATACAGTCAGTCAGTGACAACGTGGAACTTCGTACGTATGTACATCAGTTCGAGTTGCCATACCACATTAGCACAGAGATTCAGTTATTGATTCAAATCCCGTAGTGGTAGAGGTAGTGAAAGTATAAGAAAATTATAAACTAATTTAACCAGGAAAAACTTTGCATATGGTTCATGTCGATACATTTTATTCATAACAGAATCAGTAGAAAAAAATTAATCAAAGGAAAATATGCTAAAATGAACTTAAATGTTCATAAAAGTGAGTAATAAGCTAGTATAACTCAATAATTATTATGATTTACACTTTTCTTCACTGTGTTGAATTTCAATTACTGACAGGGGAGTCCTATTCACATGGGCTCCAGGATCCTAAGGAATCAAATGGCATGTGAATCTGTTGATGGCCGCCGGCTACCATAGGACTGCATCTCTTAACGTTGCTTCACTGCCTTGTGGACCAGCCCTTTAGGTCAAAGGCTCCGGGTACGACCCCCTAAGAAAACCACGTGCTTCGGTCTGGGCACTCGGGCAGTATTACGTCCACACACAAATTGGATGATAAAGTGTGGCACATATGTGTTCGATAACTCTTTGTACCAATGTTTATGTGTTTGAATAAGATAAAATAAATACATCCAACTAATTGTAGTTTCGCGATTTGGTTACTACGAGATTGGTCCTTATGGAATCCAATTTCTTGATCTAAATATTTCATTCAGTTCAGCGACATTCTGTTAAGAACTTTGCCTGGCATTTATAGTAGTGTAATGTCTCTGTTTTTTATACTTACCAAAACCTCCAGTGGTCTCGATGGGGTACCCCTATTTCCTGTCTGCCGATACTTGTTCTCCCGTCCAAATCATCATGATAGTTATCTCTATATCTGACTACAGTGCTTCAACTAGTATGCTGTCTGATCCTGCTGCTTTCTCATAGTTGATTTTTCTAATAGTTTTCCTGATTTTCTCCATTTTTAGTGTAGTTACATCTACTGTCTGGTCTATGTATACTGCTTGGATATCTGATGGGTTAAGTGGGACTAGTCAATTCAAGAGTTCTTCAAAGTGTTCTATCCATCTGTTTCACTGCTGTTGAACCTCACTGACTTATGTGCCTTCTTTGTTTTTGACTGATCGGTCTGATTTGTTTTTGTTATGTCTTGTCGATTGAACGCTACTTGTTATATCTGGTCGTCGCTGATTGTTGTGTCGGAAATGCTTATCACTTATACTCGAAACGAGGGACTTCTGCAATTTCCATGACGTGAAAGTACGAACACAAATACTGGTGTAAGTGATGGTTTACTAACCCCAAGACACGACGACGACGATTCTAGTCGAAGATACACTCATTTATATACTGATTGGTACATCCATTTTGATTAGCAATTAGGATTGAAATCACTCATATGAAAAATACCTACAGATATGACAAATCACATGCTGAGCGTAGTTTATGTCAACCGAATACAAGAATATCGTATACCATGCAGCATAAAATATCGTACGGGAAAACAAAACAAATACTACACTGAATGACCATCAAATTGAATCAAAGCGGAAGTACTGTTGAACAAAACTCATAGCCAGTAAATCAATCGAATTTTGACTTTTCTTCCTATCATCTCAGTTTCTTTGCTGGTTTCTTAGTTGTATTATATAGATCTCTAATATTTTTTTCTCTTGCAGCTTATTCTACAATCGTTTCTAGGTGTTCCACATATTTCCATTTGTCAGCTGTAATGCTTTTCTCCAATCTTTTATTTCCACTTTTACATTCAGCGTGTATCCTTGCTTTCTCTGCCCTTATTTGAGTGTTGTTGAAAACCTTTTTCTTGTTTTTCCTATCTTGAACCTCACCCAGGGTAGGTCTCAAATCAGGATGGTTAGGTCTGTTCCTGGGCGTTTATCGGCAATTGATCTCTACCTCTCATGAAACTGATCACTATAATCTTCTCTGCTATCATTGTTGACAGCGTAGCACGGGATGACATTCATTATAACCCCTTCTCTCTTCGTTTAGAAGGTCACCTTGTTGATCCTGTTAGCGTAATTTAGAAGCGCTCGTTGTAGTCCTGGGCTACATCAGCTATTACAACAGTAAACATCACCTCCATTATTTCGGTTACATAATGATTCGAGGAGTATCACTTAAAATACTGACTACATCACAACATGATCGACAGTTAGATTAGCATAAAGAGTACTAAATGCATAGTAACATGAATGTATTCAGTTCAACTTTCTCGAAAATGCTAATGTTTTCAGTAAAATTTCTATAGTAAATTTATAAGAAATTTGTGAAGTTGTCATAGCTAATGAGGGAAATTTTTAGACAGGCCAACCAATCTAACAGCTACCTGTGCGTAATTCAAGATAGATGAGCGAATACTAATTAGCTCCAAAATTGTATTAAAAAAGCCACCCAGTTTTCCAACTGATGTCAGTTCGTAAAAAAACTGTCTTTAAATTTAATTTTCACGAAGACAATGTTGGGGACGATAGATCCCCAAAAACTCATAGTTTATAATTTTATCTTGTGGAGCTTGTATGCAGACGTATACGTGGGCATTTCTTACCACCCACGCACATAGTTGATTGACGAATTTAAATATTTCAATGGCAGTCAATTAACGAATTATCGATTAGATGTTTAAAAGCTCCATGGCAATATCGATGTATATATATTTCTAGAATGGGTTTTGTGGAGAATTGGTAATTTCAATAGTTGAAATCATGAATCAATTGAAGCTAGACCACTATGGAAATCCCGGCTCAGTGGTCTAGTTGGTTAAGCGCTTGGCGCGAGACTGATGGGTCCTGGTTTCGAATCCCGCGGAGGGCGGGATCGTGGATGCGCACTGCTGAGGAGTCCCATACTAGGACGAAACGGCCGTCCAGTGATTCCAGGTATATGTATTTGTATATATACGTTCTAAATTGTCTTTGTGAAAATCGCTGGTTTTCTGGTCGTTGCAGAATATACTCTCAATTCAAGCCTGGACTTCTCCCTCTAGATAGCTGGGGCTGGGACGCGTCATTAGCTAGCTTACTGGTCTTGGTCTTCGAATCTCGTTCTCGTTCGCAGAATAAGTGAACTAGTGATAGCTTCAACCCTAACAGACAATCATCCCAATACTATAAGGACACCAGTTGAGTATCGAAAGTATTCAAATAAAAAAAGTAGTTGGCGACTAAGAAATCAAATTATTTTATTTGTTTCATTTTTAGTCTTGAAACGTTCTAGATAATCAAGTATAACGTCAATAGTTATTCGTATTGAATTGAAGCAGTAGATTATTCGTTAATTACTTTTAGTTCTTGAGATGTTAAAATGAATCGATGTACTTCTATCACAGTTTTTAATGTAACTATTTGAAATTGTTTGGAGCTTCTGATAGTGTTCCATTGTTTTATGGTCACTCAATGTCAATAGTAAACGGGGAAGAAAATCATTTAGATTGTTTTACAGGGTAACTAAAAATATGGGTAGAACTATATGTATGTGCAAAAATAAAAACATTTTATTTATCTACTAAAAAGGCTTTTTATAATCCAGTTGTAGCTTGAGATCAATCCAGCTACCTCATTCATTCTAGTATTTTGTCAAACCGGTTAAATAATTATAAAGTCTGAGCTATTCAGCATTTTTTTACTTTTCCCCTAAAGATCAGATATACTGCATATATCCTGAAGTTGTCAACAGCATTTTCAATTTTTTAGTGTTGTGTTCAGCATTTTCATCCATCTTTCAGTTCATTTAATACGTAAATGGTGTAATTTTCATTAAAGTGTTTGAACTTATTTATGTCTGTTACCAATACGATGAAGTGTGGCTCAATCAACTAATGAAAAACATAAATTTTGTGGAAGTTAGGGCTTAAAGTGAAATCGCTAATCGGAATCACACTCCTATATTCAGTATTCTCTCACTAAATGAAACCAAAAAAAAATGCAATAAATAGTACAGCTATTGAACTTCGTAAACGTCATGATTAACCACAGATTTACACATGATGGATTTGTAGTGTGGCGTCGAGGCGCGGTTGACTATGATCACCACTACAAGAAGAGTACATGCCAGTTAACCAATAAGATCTTTGCAGGCCAATATCAGAAGGCAGATGATGGCTGTAGTGGAGATGTATTTTCTGGCGATCTCGTAGTATCGAAAGAATACCGAGATCGTGCCAGATTACAAGTGGGGTTACTGAGCGTAAACGAATTCGTACAAGGTTAAAGTCAACGGGCGGAGAATAACGGCTGTCTTTAGTACAGTTAAACAAACGATCACTGGTACAATTGGTTATAATAATGATTGTTTCCATGAAACCATTAGCGTTCCGTTGATAAAAATAGGTCACTACAGATCTTTCGTAAAACATTTTTCAAACTTTAGAAAATCCTACTTTTCTAATTTGATTTAAATACATTCACCCACAGATTTAATGCATATAGTTAGTTGATAAATTCAGTCGATTGCTTAACAACAATTGGTTGAATAAGAAAAGCTATTATTGTAATGCACAGAGTACGTAATTTCTTGAATGTAAGTTATTTAAATGTTACTCATATTGCAAAATTAAAAAGTGACTAAGTTATTACCGATATATCAACCTAAAAATAACAATCTAACAAAATCTCAATTTCACTGGTTGAAATCATGAGTCAATTGAAGCTAGACCACCATGGAAAACCTGGAAGCACTGGACGGCCGTTTCGTCCTAGTATGGGACTTCTCAGCAGTGCGCACCTACGATCCTGCTCCTCATGAGACTCGAACCCAGGACCTA